TTCTACTGGTACGATTGTTTTGATTGTCTATGTTGATGATATTATATATCTAGGAATGATTTAGCATGCATTACAGAGTTGAAATGACATCTTGGTCGACATTTCCATACTAAAGGCTTAGGTGTTGTTCAATATTTTCTTGGAATTGAAGTTGCTCGTTCTCTTCGCCATTTGAAGGTGGCTTTCTTTGATTGGACAATATTGAAGGTATAAATATTGAAGTTGCACCCTCTCTATAAGCTTAAGCTTTTAGAGTAGATGGGTAATTAACATGGTATCAGAGCCAAAGGTCTCGAGTTCAAACCTCACCGTCACCCTAATTAAAAATTGAAAAACATGTGTAGGACCAAAAAGAAAGCCACACATGAGGGGGCGTGTTGAAGGTATAAATATTAAAGTTACACCTTCTCTATAAGCTTAAGCTTTTAGAGTAGATGGGTAGTTAACAAACAACAATTTTGGGGAAGACTGATGATTAACAATTTGAGAACAAGGCAACAGATCATTGTCAATTGCCCTATGGCTAGGGATGGATGGGATATGTTTTGTGCTAGTTATTGGGTTCAATGATCATGTTGGAAGCCACAAAGAGATTTATCGAAACTTGGAGAGCTTTATTTTGTAACACCCCAAGCTATAGGGATGCGTGGAGGGTTGCCCCCCTTTACTTGTGGTGGGCTTTATGGAGGGAGAGAAATAGGAGATCTTTTGATGGGGTGGAGCCTCCCATAAGGGTGGCTAATTTCTCTGTACTTGACTCTGAAGATCAATAACTCTATGAACAATCTTTTGTTTTTTGTATATAGCTTGAGGTTATAGGTTCTTGGCTTGTGCAAAGATACTCTCGAGCCCTCCGCCAATAGATTCACTTGCACAGTTCCCCAACTCCCGCCATGGTTTATACTTCCTATGCACACTCTCTCTCTCTAGATTTCTCTTTCCTCTCCATAACTCTCTCTCTTTCGGGTCCTCACCAACCCCTTTATAGCCCTCTCCCTCCCTCCCTCCCTCCCTCTCTTAACCCACATAACAGAACACACATTCATGGACATGGTAGTCACAAGAAGACCTTGTTTCATAGAAGAAGATGATGGTCTAGCGTTTTTATAGCTTGAGGTTTAGAAAATTGGTGCCTTTCAATAAGGCTCTCCTTAGGAAGTGGTTGTGGAGGTTTGGGGTGGAGAGGCTTAGGCTTTGGATAAGGGTTGTAGCGAGTAGATATAGGGAGAGTAGAGGAGGGTGGAGTTCTCTCGAGGTGTGTAGAGATACTCTCGAGCCCTCCCTAATAGATTCACTTGCATAGTTCCCCAACTCCTGCCATAGTTTATAATTCCAATACACTTTCTCTCTCTAGATTTCTCTTTCCTCTCCATAACTCTCTCTTTCGGGTCCTCACCAACCCCTTTATAGCCCCCATCTCCCTCCCTCCCTCCCTGTGCAACCACCATGACAGAACATACATTCATGGACATGACAGTCACAAAAAGACCTTATTTCATAGAAGAAGATGATGGTCCAGCGTTTTTATAGCTTGAGGTTTAGAAGATTGGTGCCTTTCAATAAGGCTCTTGTTATGACAAACGCAACGAACCCTAGGAAGCATGGACACGCCAAAATGGGCGAAGAATCTGTGTCCAACACGTGTCAGACACGGACACGCGTCGGACACGTATCGGACACACCAAAAAACGTGTCTAGAATTTTTTTATTTTATTTTTAATTTTCGTACACGGTACGAACACGGCACGGACACTCCGTGGACACACGTGTCTGGAATTTTTTTTTTTTTTTTTTAATTTTCGGACACGGCACGAACACTCCGTGGACACACGTGTTTGGAATTTTTTTTTTTTTTTAATACTGATATGTTCTGTTTTTTGTTTTGTACTACCCTTTTGGTATTGTGAATGGAAAAGTCCTAGGTCAAATGATGGATGGGAATAGATGATAGTACACTGACTTGTTTTTGTATCTTTTTTGGGGACTAGCCTTTAGGTTTTAGTGAATGTTAAGTGCTAACAGTAAAGTCCTGAACCTTAAACAGTCATGAATGTTAATAGTCCTTTTTGTCTATGCTTTTGTATTTGGAGTAAAGTTGCAATGATGATTAAATAATATTAGTTATTATTCTAATGTCTTGTTTTTTTATTTGGTTTTATAACTATACAACATTGTTCTTTTATAGTTCTATTAGTTATGAGTTATGATTTGTGTTTTTTTTTCATTGTGAGGTTGATGAAAAATAGTAGCACTCGGTAATTTTTAAAGTACTACATCACATATATATACATATATATATATATATATATATATATATACTATTTACTGTGTCCCTGCCGTGTCCGTGTCCTAATTTTTTTAGATTTGCAGTGTCGTGTCGTATCCGTGTCCGTGCTTCTTAGAACGAACCTAAGTTGAACCAAGAATCACAACAAAAAAAGTAAACACGCGACATAAAGAACACAAAGATTTATATGTGGTTCGGCAACAGCCTACATTCATGGTTGGGATTCGGCGAAAGTTTTTACTATGTGTAAAATCGGAGATTACAAGTTTTTAGCCCCTCACTCTGTTTCCGTACGAATTTCAGAGTCTATCTCTTCCCCAACTCCAAACCCTAAGCGCCCTTATATATCGGGTTACAAGAAACTAATTAGGGTCCACGGCCCATAAGCAAAAAACGGGTCATAAAGCTCATCCAACGGGTCGTAAGCTGGGTCGCAACGCGCCACGGCACCAAATGTATAAGCTTTGGAGGGGGGTTGTAGCGAGTAGATATAAGGAGAGTAGAGGAGAGTGGAGTTCTCTTGAGGTGCGTGTTCCCGGGGGTGTGGGGGTTTGGAAATTCATTCGGAAGGGTGGGTTTTCCAAAAATATTAGATTTCGACTCAAGTATGGTAGTAAGATCAGTTTCTGGGAGGACGTTTAGTGTGGGGATCGTTCTCTTGCTCTCATTTTCCCACGAGTCTTCAGGATTACTACGGATAGGAAGGTCAGGATTGCTATGGATAGGCAGGCCATGGTGGTCACCTATTATCATATTGATAGCAGGAGATCGTCTTAGGATGTTTATTTCAGGAGGCACTTTCAGGATTGGGAAATTGAGGACGTCATTGGTTTTTTGGAGGAGTTGTATCGCCATGAGATTACGGTTGGAGATTCTGATGGTAGGATATGGGTCCCTGCCTCTTGGGGTCATTTTGATGTTCAGTCCTTCTTCGGGTGTCTCACGGAAGAGCCTGGAGCTCTTTTCCCATGGAAGACTGCTTGGCGCTCCTTGGCCCCCCTCAAGGTGGCCTTCTTTTCTTAGACCTTTGTCTTGGGAAGATCTTGACCCAGGATAATTTAAGGAGAAGAAATAAGGTGGTGGTCAATTGTTGCTACATATGCCTTCGTGATGAGGAGACGGTGGATCACCTTCTTTTGCACTGCACCATGGCCACGGACTGTTGGGATTTGATGCTTGGTTTGTTTGGGATTCAGTGGGTCATGCCTAGATCCTCCAGAGAGTTGATTGAGGCTTGGAGAGGTTGTACAGTGGGGACTCATGTTCGGGATGCTCGGAGGGGTAAGCCTTTGTGTGTTTGGTGGTGTATTTGGCTCGAGAGGAATAGGAGATATTTCGAAGGAAAGGAGATGCCTGTTTTTATGCTTCAATTTTCTATTATTTCTACTATTTTTTGTTGGGTTTTAGGAGAACTTTTTTTTCCTAGTTGGTACTTGCACGCACATCCCTTCATTGAGACTTGAACCCTTGACCTCCTTTTGGGAAGTAAGGGCCTGATACTGCTAGTCCACTGACCCATTGGTAAGTTTTAGGGAGCAATTATAAATCTTTAGAGGAGATTGTTGATTTTTTAGACTCTTTGAAGGTTTAGAGGCCCTTTTTGGCCTTGTGTAGTTCTCTTGGGCTTCGCTGCCCTTTTAAGTGCTTTTATACAATTTTACTTATTAAAAAAAAAAAAAAAAAGGTTATATGTTCTTGGCTTGTGTAGTTCTCTTGGACTGCGTTCCCTCTTTGAGCGCCTTTTAATGAATTCTTCTTCTTATTCTTCTTCTTTTTATTTTTTATTTTTTTTATTTTTTTATACGAGCCTTTAAATGAAATCTTACTTAAATTAAGATCATATGGAGACAAGGACCAATCACTACAATAACCCTAATATTTCATAGAATAAAAAATATGTTTATCTTTTTTAACTTATCACAATTGTAAAGCTTGGAAAAAGAAAAAGGCAACCACTTAGTCAAGACTATTAGGTCATAGACTTGCACCGAGTGGTCTATTTGATAAATATGTATTCATACCTGTGCCATACATTATACAAGCTTTGGCTTTCTTCTACATTAATCAAGGTCGCCATTTTGTGTATCGATTCGGTAATTACGTTCATTCAAATTGCATGTATATCATGCAGATGTTAACAATGTCATCATATTTTTGGTGTATCTTTGCTTTAGAAATGTTTTGCTTTAGCTTTTGTCACATATCTGTTAACTGAATTTCTCCTTACCTAATTCCCACAATATCATATCCAATAAAAGTTTTCTAACTATAAACTTTATACAAATAGCTACATATAAATCATGCTAATACATAAGAACATTTAACACCAATGCAACATTCAAAATGAAGTTTGATTGCCACTTGAGCATGCAAGGAACAAAAGATGGAGGTTCCAAGATTTAATCATTACTGCCTGGGATATTTTCAAAGAACTCGGATAAAAAATAAAAATAACCAACTTTCTAATAATATTATTTGTCCATTTTTTCCTGGATTATAAACAATCGTAACTTCTGTTTAATGCATTACCATGACTGAATATAATAACTCTATAAGTCACTGGCAGAATTCAAAATTCAAACAATGAGGAATTTAAAACTGAGTTGTGATCAATAATCATAAATAGAAATCAAACTTCTTAAATCATTAATAAGCAAGTGACAAAATAAATTTTTATAAAAGAATCAACTGTGATTATACTGGAAAGCAGTACCTTGATAAGACCTGCCAAACAGTGTACATCAACTCCTTCTGGAACCACTCCCCTATTTAATTGATCCCTGACATACTCCTCCTGGCTGTTTTCTGCATTGATTCTGAAAATCCCTTCCGCCTGCATATGTGAAGTCAACAATTCAGCAAGTTTACAAGGAAAGTGAACTCTTAACACTTTGTTTGGATTCTTAACATATGTGAAGTCAACAATGGAAGGAAAAGAAAGGGAAGGAAAAAGGAGGAGAAGCCTGTGTTTATTTAGAAAAAAGTGAGAAAGGGAAGGATTCGGAGGGAGGAGGAGGGGTTTCACTAACCCCATGAATAGTGTTTTTCTTATCCACCCAAAAGTGAGGGAAAACAGAGAGGATAGGATAATTATTAATTACCAATTTTGCCCCTGTTTTCTATAACAAGTGAATTCCTGTTTTCCCCTAACAAACCTTTCCTTTCTTTTCTCTCCGCCATCTTTTCAAACACGAAGAATAACTATTATTTCCTTTCTTTTCCCTCCTAAGTTATCCAAACACGAGGAGAGATTAACACTATCATCTATATTCTTTTCTTTACTCTCATAACTAATGTTATCGTCTCCTTTCTTTTTCCTCTCTGTTAGGAAAACGTATCATGTATTGGCATATTCCTTGAGCAAAAGTTGCGTCATGGTCTATACGCCGTGTTACTTCGATGGAAGGTTCGCGTCAACATTAAAGTTGTGATTGTAGATCAAGATTGAGTTGAAAAATCGCATCAACATCTTGCTTCAACCTTCATCAGTCACATGATATAAAGAAGGTAAGTAGCCTAAGCGATAATAGGAATCAGAGTGACTAAGTTAAGAAAGTCGAATTAATTTGGAGTTCAATCAAACTAATTATTAATTAGTTCTAATATGATTATAAATTTAAAGTTGAAGTATTATTTCATTAGGGATGAATTTGGAAACCTTAATGTTGGTTATAAAACTTAGATTTTGTGCTTAAGTTGAAAAACCAATTTAAAAGTTGATTTTGGTAAGGATTTCAAGTTTTAAAAATAGAGCTCCGTATCTTTGAATAATCATTAAAGGAATTTTATGATGATCTTAATATATTCAACAACCAGATTGATAAGCTTTCGGACAATGTATATATATATGCCTAACTTCAAGGTTTTATCCCTCAACTAAGCATCCGAAGTCAGACTATGTGCAGTTGGTTTTAGCAGAAAAGGTCAATCAATCGCAGCTGAATCTTAATTGATCGAAGTTACTCCAAAATAGCTCAACCTAAAGCTCAAATGATCAAGAAAAACCCAGAAGGTGCCGAAATCGATCGAACGGACGTCCAGAGTTGGTAAACATGTTTCCAACACCAAAAAGGTTTCTAAACTTTTCAAAACTCATCCAAGCTATTCCTAACGAACTTCTAATAACTCCAACATTATAAACATAAGCATAATACAAGAGACACAAGTGTAAGAAAATGTGGGAGCTTTACTTTATAATCACAAGTGAGGTTCTTCATACAATACCTTATATAATTGTGTGATTGAGTTCTAAAGTAAGAGGTTTATCAAAGAATTGGACAACTAGTTATTGGAGATCAAATTACCAATTGGAGAAGCGGATCGTATGAGGAGTGGATTTGTTGAAGGAGCAGACCGTGCTTAAAAAATTGAGTGGAGAATTTGGTAGATTAGTTTGTGTCAAGAGGTAACTAGGGATGCCATAGTTTAAGAAATGTTAACCTAGTTGTAAACTTCTTTCTCGTAATGGATTTGATCTGTCTGGACTAGGTCCCGTGATTTTTTCCCATTGGAGTTTTCCATGTAAAAATCAGTGTTCATGCGTGTGGATGTTTTATGCTTTATATTTCTATACTCTTGTCTATTATTACATGCTAATTGATTGATAATTAAACTTCAGTTGATTGTTAAAATTGAAATTGTGTAAAAATTATCAGAGTGCAAAAAATCAATTCACCCCCTCTAGGTTTAATTGGGAATAGTGTAGTTTGAAGTATAGGAACCTCGTATCATGGTCCCTAGATTTCTCTATCAGTGTATATCTAATGTAGACTTATCACTCAGATATTCAATCGAAGGGTAAATATAAACAAAAAAGAGGCAAGTTAACAAAGCTTTTAAGTGAACAATTCATGGTTGGTTATACAAATCATATCCCAAAATTTTCAGTATGTGAAGTGCACCTGCAGGCCACCTTGAGCATACAAGTGTCCTTGCATCAGCAGGAGTATTGTTGGAACACTGTTTCCCCTGGGGTCGAATGACAACTGCATGGATTCTGTAGAAACTCCAAAAACAGTGGCACTACAAATGAAAAACCATGTTAACGGATTCACACAACCAGTTAGCAATCTATCAATTATGCTAGTTTAACAGTACATTAACTTTGAACAACATGGGAAATGTAAAGCGCCCATCTAAATAGGTGGAAACTCCAAGGAACCAAGTCATGTAATACATCTTCAACGCTGCATGAACTAAGCGAATTGCAGGTTTCATAAAAATGAAGAGAGAAGGTGGCAAAATTCTATTAGATTCCTTTGAGCAGATGCCACTGGTCAGTTTTAATATAATCTGAATTATTTAGCATGCATAGGTCAAGTAAAAAAGTGATACAAAAGCACAAGATTGGATCCACTAATTCACAACTACCGAGAGATGCAAGCGCAGTGCTGATATCCAGTATGTAGCAAGCAAGAGGAAATAATTTCAGTATGAGTATTACTGATGGAATACCCATGAAGAAAGGCTGCCACATAATCAAAATATATCATTCTCGTTATAGCTTTTATATACATTTTTTATGTGAGGAAAATTGTCTTTTGAGAACTACCGTGACAAGTATTCATCTTACCAATGGCTAAATGAATAATGGAGTTTATAAGAAATGCTCAAGCGCTTGCATAGGCAAGAGAGACAGTTCCATCTTTTTTATGTCCAATATGCTTAATACCATTGCAACTGGATAGTTCCGTATAAAAGACACTAAGACATATAAAGTGCTTTTCTATTGGTGTAAAGAAGTAATTAGACATGTACAATAACATTTGATCTCAAGATTTCATTACTTCCTAATATTTTAGTTGTAGATGTGAATGTACCCTGCAGGATACCAAAAAGTGGAATAGCGAGGTGTTTGGCAATTTGTATTGGCGGAAAAATAGACTTTTGATGGAGATTGCGAAGTTGGACCAAAAGGAAGGGGTGGCAGGGTCGAATGATGTGGAGAAATGTATAGAGGTGTATAAGGCTGAGATTGGCCAGAATGCTATTTTGGAGGAGATATCTTGGCGACACAAGTCTAGGGCTTTGTGACTAAGGAGGGGAATAGGAATACAAACTTCTTCCATCAGAGAGGCAATAACATCAGAAGAATTTGTAATGATAGCGATTTGTTGAGTAAAGAGGGCATTAAAAGAGGGATTCTGTCATCCTATCATCAGTTGTACAGGGAACCTTCTAACCTGAGACCCTTGCTCAATGGTTTGGAGTTTGAGAGCATTTCAATAGAAGACAGCAAATGGTTGGAAAGGCCCTTTCCGAGGTGAAGGTGGCCTTGAGAAGTTTCAATGGAGACAAGGCACCGGGGCAGATGGCTTGACTCTGGCTTTCTTTCAACAGAACTGGGATGTGGTCAAGAAAGCGGTGATGGACTTATAAAAAAATTTCATGTGCATGGTCACTTTAAGAGGAGTGTGAATGCTTCCTTCATTGCTCTCATTCCTGCAACGGGTGGGACTATTGAAGCGAAGGACTTTAGGCCCATTAGTTTGGAGGGTAGCATCTACAAGTTAATAGCCAAAGTTCTTGGCCTTGCTGTTGAGGAGGATTACTGATGGTGTAATCTTGGTCTATCAAAATGTAGTCGTTGGTGGGTGTCCGATTTTGGATTGTATGCTGATTGCTTGTGAGTGTCCAGAATTAGTAGTGGGGTATCGGGGATTGTTTGTAAGTTGGATATTGAGAAGGCATATGGCTGAATTGGAGCTTCTTGGTGTATCCTTTCGAGAGGATGGGATTTAGCAAAACATGGAGGAGGACACTTTTCTGCATTTCCACGATGAAATTTTCAGTATTGATGAATGAGTCCCAGATTGGTTTTTTCTCTAGCTCTCGAGGGTTAAGGCGGAGTGATCCCTTGTCTCCATTCTTGTTTATCATAGTGATGGACACTTTTAGTAGATTGATGAGGAGGGCGAAGGCGATGGGCTATATTAGAGGCTTTGATGTGGGCAGTGGTTCTTTTAATCAGTCGAAGGTTTCTCACCTTCTTTTCTCTAATAATACCATTGTCTTCTGTAAAACGGAGGAGGATTAGAGGTGTGTGCTAGTGTTCTACAAGCAATTTCCGGACTGAAGATCAACATTGGGAAGAGCAAGATAGTGCCGGTGGGGGAGGTCGGCAAGGTTGATTCTTCAGCGGATAGTCTGGGGTGCGGTGTTGGGTCTTTCCCTATCTCGTACTTGGGCTTGCCTTTGGGGGCTTATTCCAAGAGTGTCTTCCTAGGATCCAGTTGTGAAGCAATTTGATAGGAGACTTGCAGGTTGGAAAAAGCAGCATCTTTGGATAAGGGTCATTCACCTCCAATTAAGAGTACCCTTTCAAGTCTTCCAACTTAGTTTCTATCCCTCCTATGTTGTGATTTAGATTGAGAAGTAGCAAACGAACTTTTTGTGGGATGGGACGGAACGGGTGATGAATTTAGGTTTCACTTAGTAAATTGGGAGAAGGTGTGCAACCCTTTCCAGTTGGAGGGTTTGGTACTAGGAGATTTAATTTGTTCAACAGAGCTTTGTTGGACAAATACCTTTGGAGGTTTGGGTTGAGAGATCCAGATTGTGGAGGAGGGTCAATTGGTGTAACATTGGGGAGGATAGATGTGGATGGAGCACTAAGGAGGTGAGGGGTCCAGCAGGGATGAAAGTTTGGGCATTCATTCGAAAGGGTTGGAATGAGTTTTCAAAGCATATCTGGTTCAAGGTGAGGAATGGAAGACTTGTTCGGTTTTGGATAGATCCTAGGTGTGGAGATAGGCCTCTTGCGTGCACTTTCCCGAGGCTTTTCAGAATCACAATGGACAAGCATATTTCAATTGCAACTATTATTGTCTTGATACTGGGAGGGTGACATGGGATGTACAGCTTGAGCAGCATCATCATGATTAAGAGTTCGAGAATATTGCAGAGTTGTTGGCTTTGTTGTATCGTCAGGATGTTGTGGGGAACGGCTTGATGAGTGGTCTTGGGTGGGATCCCATCATGGGGAATTTGAGGTGCTCTCATTTTATCGAAGGCTTCTAGATGCTCAGGGGTCTCCTTTCCCTTCGAAGGCAGTTTAGCAAACAAAATCCGGTCTAAAAGTGGTTCCTTTTTTGTGGAGGACAGCTTTGGTGAGGATTTGACAATCGATAATCTAAGAAATAGGGAGCAGATTGTAGTAAATTGGTGCTCTATGTGCAAAAGAATGAGGAGTTGGTTAATCGTCTCCTTTTGCATTGTTCAGTGGCTAGGGATGGTTGTGACTGCATTTTTCTATTTTTTGTGCGCAATGGGTTATGTTGGATTCCATGCTTGAGACTTGGAAAGGATGTATGGTGGGTAATCAAGCTCGAGATGCTTACAGGACAGCCTCTTTTGTTTGTATTGGGGCTTGTGCCAAGAGATGAATAGGAGATTCTTTGATGGAGAAGAGGTTCCTAAATGGGTGTTAAAATTCTCCATACTGAGTTCTTACTTTTTTTCTGAATTCTTGGGTGGTATTGAAATCTTTAGATGACTTTGTGGATTTTGTGGATAGTTTGAGAGTGTAGTGGGTCCCCTAATTCTATTGGCCAGAAACACTATATAAACACACTTCGGATTCTTAAACTAGAAGAAGTATGTAGGCATACATAGAGCAACACAGGTGTTGCACCATCATTCCAAATCATATACTTTCGTCAGCGATCCAGGAGGGGAAAAACCCCGAGCACAACATAGGTGCTGCATTCTAAATGGGGGTGTTGATGTCTCAATTTATTGAGTTGGATTCTCAAGACAATGTGAGACAAAGTAATGAAAAAAATTATATTTAAAACAATTTTTTCAATTGATTATGTATACCCGAAACTAGGGTCACGACCCTCCGTTGAAGACAATATAGGACTTTAACTCATTATTCGGGTTTACTTTACAGTCAATGAAGACTAAGTTATAAAGATCCATCAAATACTATCCCTTCAAATGTTGATACGAAAATTATAAAATCCTTCAAATTACTTTTTGTTAAAGGTTCTGAAATTCACCATTATGTGTTATGTCACTTGTTCTAACATAAAGAAACCAATCTTTGATGATCATTCAAATATATGAGGGAACACGGTTACATGACAATGCAAGTCCATGGTAAATCAAGAACATATCACTTAAAAGTTCAATACAAATTGGAAACTCAACTACTAATATTAAGTATTAACTGCTTGCAATCAGCCAAAACTGGTCTTAAATGCATGAGGGAAAAATATCTCAGAAGGATTTCCTTCTTCTTGCATTTTTTCCTTGACAATAACACAACTATTAAAAGGAAAATCTTAAATGATAAATGTTAAAATGCGTCTAACATGCAACGACAGAAACATGTGCCAAAAGCACCTTCCCGAATGAGATATTTGAAGCTAAACCAATTATGAAGCAAGTGAACTTTGCGGGGGAAAAAAAAAATAACTATGAAGCAAATGAAAATCCATTTGAGATTTAAAAAAGAAAATGAACAGAAAGAGGAACAGCATTCCATTTGCAATTACTAAGATAATAAAGCAAGGGAAATTGATCAATAGAAAAGTTTTTCTGAAGTAGAAAAATGACAGAGAATGGAAAATGTCCCCGAATCACTTAATACTAAATAGTTTAGATCTCAATTCGCCAATCCCCTCAATGCCATTATTTTACCTTGAATTCAAATATATATTCCAGCTGAACTTACTTCCAAAATGTTACGGGTGGCAAGAAAAAGATAAAAAGCATCTTTCAGAAATCAACACCAGAAAGAAAAATACAATTTCTAAATATCAACCAGCAAGAAGTTTACAACCATTGTGAAATTCTCTTTGTAATGAAAATACAAGCCATATAGCACAAAGAAACTCACAATATACAGAATCTGGATCATATTGAACTAAAATTATAAAACCCATTCACATTACCATCAATTTCATCAGCATTATCAAAAAGAATAAGAAAACACCAGTTAAAAGCAACAAATCATAACTGAAGAATTAGGTAAACTAATGAAATATAAAAAATTAGACAAGAAAAGCATTCAAAAGCATTTCCCTAAACCAATAAACAAAACCCACCAATCAAATTCAAGAACATTTTTACAATTTCAAGAACAACTCGACAAAAATACCAATAAAATCACAAATTTAAGAATTATCCAATCCAGGAAAAAAAAAAAAAAAAAAAAAAAACAACAAACAAAAAACAAAAAAACAAAAAAGCATTCCCAAATTTCAGCCAACAAGAATGAAAGTTCACCAAGATTCAATGTACCTTGCACTGGGGGCCCTCCTGGGCACTTCTGGCTCGAACTCAACAGGCAAACCCAAGAACCCATTGAACCTGTCGAACGTAACATGTGCAACATGGCGCACATTAGTGGGCCACCCGATCTCCATACTACAGAACTTCTCTCTATCGTTCTTGCAAGCAACCCAGAAAGACTTGCGGAAAAGGGTGAGCAAAAGGGCCAACAGAGACAGCTGATCTCTGTCCTTGTCTCTCTCCTTCCCCTCCTCCTCACCCTCCACTTCGAACAGCGCGTCATTGTGGGTTGGTGAGGGTGCGCAGGATAAGGCAGAAGAAGAGGATGATGGTGAGGAGTGGAGGACCTCTGTCATGGCTGTCAAATGGCAAAAGGGTTTGTTTCCTTTCGGTGAATTTTATTATAAAAATGTTGTTTGGATTAAAGAAACAACAGCAGCATAGTGTTTGGTTTGAGGGAAAACGAAGGAAAATGAGGGAAAATTGCGGGAAATGGGTAGAAGAGTGGAACCGAAGAAAGGTAATAGGGGACTGTGTGGATGGGAAGACGTGAGAATCATGAAGCGGTTAATTTTTTTGTGTTTATTGGTGCATTGGCCGAGCTTTGATGTAGATTTGGATGGGGGCGTTGAAGAGACGATGTAGAGAGAGACAGGAATCAAAATATTTTTTCGTACATTTTCTCAAATTACATTTTGTTCACTTCACCGGTACTAGTGAATTATTAATTTTTACTGGTGCATCAATTAAGTGGAAGAGTAATTTTCACCATTTAATGCCATTAACTTACCAGCAGCGGGTATGGCTATGGTGTGTTTGCTTTAATATAAATTTTTCAGCGGGTATGGCCATGGTGTGTTTAATATATATTTTTTTAAAAAAAATTTTAAAATTTCAAAGTAAAACACAGTAGCAATTTTATAATGGGGTGACTTCCCGGCGTGAAAAACGATATAATTGATGATAGGATGTTCATTTGATTAATGTGATAATTATTGATTTGATTCCGTTAAGAAAAATTATTATGAGATTGATGATTGGGTGTTGATTGGATTGATACGGCAATTATTAAGATAAACAATTAAATTTTAACGAGGAGTGTTAAATATAATCGCGCAAGTCTGTACTTCTAATTGGTTAAAAAATAAGTTATAATTAATATGTCTTTCCTAATTTTTTAAAATTTTAAAACTTTAACTTTAAAACTAAATTACCCTTTTAAATTATTTCTTTTTTCTTTATACCTAATAACCTTCTTTCTTTCATTTGTTACATATATTAACTTTATTTATTTTCTTTATTTTTAACAATTGTCTTCTTATTTTTTCTTTCTTTCCTGATTGGATATATATGGCTATATTTCATTATTTACTTTCTTCATTATTTACTTTCTTTCTTTTTTTTTTGTTCAGTTGTCTTATATATATATATATATATATATATATATTCTACTTTGATTAATTTTTTATTAGATTTTATGTAATTTAATTGAAATAACCGTATGAGATTAAGTTTTAATTGAAGTAATATTATAAAATTTGAGTTTTAGTTAATCTGTGAAACAAGAGAAGTATGGTTTTTTAATCTATTCACAGTAAATTACTATACATGTGTGTGAACAAAGAAAAGAAAATAATTGAAAAAAAAATAGGAAAAAAAAAAAGAAAAGAAACAATCAATTTACATAAGATTTTTTTTTTTTTTTTTTCCTCTCTCTTTAATATGGATCTAGAGAATAGAGGGGAGAAACAGTGAAAAACTCGAGTATATAAATAGTTAAAAACATTTGAAAAAAAAAAAAAACAGAGAGAGAAAAGAATAAGGTATGTAAGCAAAGAAAGAATCAAAGATTATATAGCTGAACACGTACAATAGGTGAACACGTACAATAGGTGAACACGTACAAGTAGGATAGAAAAGAAAGAATAAATATAAAAGGGTAATTTGGTCCTAAAAGTTAAAATTTCACAGTTCCAATAAAATAGGAAAAGACGCATTAATTACATATTTTATAATTAATTTTCCAGCCAATAAGAGGTGCGACTGTGAATGGACAGTCGCTTACGCGACTGTGTTTAGCACTCCTTAATTTCAATATTCATCCCAAAGGGAGATTGATGTGGCAATTATTAAGATAAACAATTAAATTTCAATATTCATCCCAAAGGGGCATTTTAAAGTGAGGAACTGTCGTTGCATAAATGTCATGCTTAATTTAAAATGAAAGAACTCGAATTAGCATTACTCAGAATTTCTGAACTTGTAATTTCTTTCCTGCTCATTGAATTTAGAACAGAAAGGACTATTGATGTGGCCATGGTGTGTTTGCTTTTATATATATATATATATATTCAAAAAAAATCAAAGTAAAACACGATAGCAATTTTATAAGGGCAAATTGCAAAAAAAAAAACCCTCAGAGTTTCACTTATTAGCAAAAAAAACCCTTATGAATTGTTTTAGACCAAAAAAAATCCTCAACTCTCATAAGGGGGTATTTTAACGGTTGTCTGTTTAAGGGGTTATGTTTTGGACGAAAATACCCCTTAAACATTATACGCGCTCCCTCATGTAGGACTTTCAAGCATATCTGACCTGTCCCGGTGATACTGACAAGTCATTACCAACGACGCCTCCATCAACCCATGAACTCCGGCCATGGCTAGTCTAAACGACCTCTACATCTCTGAACCACCAATCTCATCCTTAGCGGTCCAAAGGATCCACATCGTCCAGTTCTGATAGTTCAGATCGACTTGTTCTCCGGCGAGTACTCTAAGAGAGTCCGAGGCCCGACTCTTGCCTTTGTTTCCGGTTTGGACTCGTCGTAGTCAACAGTCCATGCTCGCTGGTATAACAAGTCCTCTATGCTCTTCACCACAAGCAACCTCCATGAAACCAACGGTTCAGTGACAAATCACGATCCGATATAGACGGCTCGAATCCATTATCGATGAAAGACGATGAGTACGTGACGAAGTACATCGAACCATTAGAGCATTGATGAAAGACGTCGAAAGGATCGCGTCAGCGACGGATATTCAAGGTCCCCGCCGGTGACTTGCATGAGGTTATTGACAAGGACCTTGCATGACATTGCGAGCGAAGCAGCGACAGACGGTGTTCGAAGCGAGGCAGTAGTTGCAGAGACAACAACGGTGGGGACCTTATGGCGGCAGATGGACTTGTTGTCAGTACTAAAGGCTCGGATCCATCATGATTCGGTATGTCAATGCACCGCCAATTGCCATTTTCAGGTCCGGTAATCGCAACAACAGTAAAGGTCCCTGCAACGACGACTTGTGTGAGGTTGTTGACGAGTTCGGTGACAAATCCGGAGATCTTTACGCTGATGTACGTTAGTTTTGGTGACGGCAACTTGCTCGCGTTGTTTTCTAGTGCGCCGACGACACTCTAGCAAGACGACCCACCGCAACAATTGGATCTCAGGCTACCTAAATTTGCTTGCGTCATTGTCTAGTAGTGGTTTTGATTGTGACGACCTCTGTTGATTGATTTTGGGTTTTGAATTGAGATTTTGGGTTTGGGTTTTGGTAGCCGCCGTCGGCATCAACAATGTAGTGGAGGAAGAAAACCCAGAACAGAGCTTCAACCGTTTAAGGGGCATTTTCGTCTAAAAAAATAACCCCTTAAACGGACGTCTGTTTAAATACTCCCTCATGATAGTTGAGGGGGATTTTTTGTCACAAAAATTCATAAGGGGGGTTTTTTACTAACGGGTGAAAGTCAAGGAGGGATTTTTGCAATTCCCCCATTTTTATAATGGGGTGACTACGCCTAATTTACAATGTAGGTGTCAGTGTGGAAAATGATATAATTGATGATGGGGTGTTCATCTGATTGATATGCAATTATTAAGATCATACTTAAAGATGAAAGATTTGACTATGTTGAGAAAAACTATTACAGGGATTGATGATTGGGTGTTTATCGGATTGATGTGGCAATTATTAAGATAAACACTTAAATTCGAATATTCATCCCAGAAGGGGCATCTTAAAGTGTTATCATCGAAATGTTTCAATTACCTTTAGGTTAAAAATAACCTTCTATAAATTTTCTAAAAGCACTTCAATTCACAAATTCTAAATCTTTCATAAAAGGAGTTATCCAAAACATTATATCATAAAAAGAAGCCATTATGTTTATGGACAAGTTAAGTTTGGGTTATTATTTAAGTTAGGCTTGTTTTAGGAATTCACTTAAAAATACTATTGAAGATTAACTCGTTTACAAATTAAATGATCTTATAAATGATAGAACTAGTCACTCAATTCAATTGTAATTCTACTTTATACCTTTCATGAGCATCTAAAAATGGGACTGTAAATGGACCAAATTGAGTAAAGAATGGTCTATTTGAGCTTGACTCGATCTTGTTACAAAAGTGTTTGAGCTCAACTCTAACTTAATAAATCTCTTAGAATAGCTTTTGAATTTGACTTGTCTATGTTTGAGAAAGCTTAAGCTTGTCTCAACAACTCGTTTAATCTAGCATGGAAAAGTTTATTGAGAACTTAAGGATTTATGGAGCAAGGAACCAAATATGGTTTACAAGTTGAAATTTGGAAGAATTCTTGGTTGGTGTTGTGTCGCCGCACCACAAGCTTAAGAGTGTGCAATTAAGGCAAGGGCCAAGTTTTACATTTATAAAAGCCACTACTACCTTCACTAAAAATATAGTTAGGGTGAAGAGGGATCGTCCCAAGGGATTGGAGTCGTACTTGGTTGTGGAATCGTTATTAGGGTTAGTAGGTTGAGTGATCAAACAAATAGTTGGTTGGTTGATTAAACTAGAGAGCAAATTAAACTAAATAATTGAATGCAAATAAGAGTAAGTAAGAGAGAGAGAGATCTTGGGGTTTAGAGGTCACCACCAAGCAATGCTTTTCTACACCCTTAACTAGTGACTAATGAGGGTAATGTGTCTTGCAATATTGATGTGTGTGTGTGTTTGGTTGATTCAATTAGCAAGGGTGACCAATTAAGCATACATTGTTTAATCAACATGTGAAAATCACAATATATCTAACAATTAAGTATATATTGTCTAAATAGCATGTGAAAAGCACAATATATCTAGCAAGTCATTAATCCTTTCATTAAGCTCACAAGCCAAATACACCACAAGGTTAGAGACATATGTTACTTGCATTCAAAAGTATGGAACATCAAATAACAAGCATAGATTGTCCTCTCATCTAACAACTATGCTACCACTACACTACAATTAAGCTAATGACATGAAATTAAACTAATTAAGCTAAGGGAGAGGTACAATCCATCAAGAAATGAGCATGGACCATCTAGAAAATCACAAGAGCATTCCTTTAAGCACTATGTTTTGAAAATCTCTAGATCTATAGCCTTAATGCACATAGACATGCATCAATAACACAAGAAATAGAGACAAACACATGAACAGCTATTCTAGCATATATAGACATATGGATAGAATGAAATGATCAATTGGAAGCATTAAACCACATAAATCATTGAATAAACAAGATCTATATATATAAAAGTGCCAAAACATGTATTACAACACTAATTCCTCAATAATACACAAAATCAAGATGTAGAAAGCATGCTTGGGGCTAACTCTAGCCCCAAGAGGAT